AGCCTTTTAGCAACAAATTTTTAGACTTTCATAGATTAATGGTTTTGGAATGCTCTTTATGTATATTCTATTACAGTATACTTATTTCTAACTTTTTAGCTTTTTAATCTAACCTCTACTAACTTTTATTAACTTTATGGACAATTTATTATTTATGTAATAGTTTTTATCAGGGCCCTACTGAAAATCGCACTGCGAGTTAGGCCCCCTGTCAAAATATTATGATAATAATAATAATAATTATGGTTCTTTGACACCTCAAGATGAAAGCCTATATATCCAAAGAAACAAAACCTTCCTCCTGAATACCAACATGTTTTAGTCGGCCTTCTCGCCGAATCCCAAAAATTCATTCGCGAATCTGAAAGGAATCCTTTCTGTGTAAGTTTACGTGATGTACGTCGATGTATACTTCTAGTCGAATGGTTTATGGATGTTATTAAGAAAAGAGCGGATGTAACGAAAGGTAAAAATGAAGATGAGTTGCAGAAACATCTTGCGAAATATCGGGAACTGGCTCTGGAATTTGACAACAAACCTGTTGTTAAAAGTGTTATTCTTGCACTAGCTCATTGCTACTTATCACGACTTGAAACTGATGAATTAAGGAGTTCCTATCAATCACGCATGGTAAAAGTGTTTCCATCCACAACTCCCATAAGTGAAGAGGTTTTTTCAGCCATCGTTCGTATGGAGCAAGAAGATTACCTCGATCGAATGGAACTACCTCTCGGGACAGCACGAAATGCTGCTTTACGCGAAAATGTCTTTGTCATGCTCGTATCCATTCTTAATCGAATACCTGTTTTCGTGGTAGGAAAGCCAGGTTGCAGCAAATCGTTAGCAATCCAGATCATCAGGAGCAACCTTCGTGGTAAAGACTCTAAAGATCCATTCTTTAGAACGCTACCGCAACTCTACGTCGTTTCGTATCAAGGTTCTGAATCTTCCACGTCTGAAGGCATAAGCAAGATTTTTCAGAAAGCATCAAATTACAAGGATCACAACAAAGATGCGAATGTTTTACCTGTGGTTCTCCTAGATGAAGTCGGATTGGCTGAGAATTCCCCAAACAATCCTCTCAAAGTTCTACATAGTATATTAGAACCTGGAAAAGGAGAATTACCGAACGTTGCAGTTGTTGGTATTTCAAATTGGGCATTGGATGCGGCTAAAATGAACAGAGCCATTCATCTTTCAAGGCCAGAGCCCACTGTGAAAGATCTCGAAGAAACAGCAATCTCTCTTTATCAAGCTGATTTCAAATTGCAAGAAATAGATGCGTCCACTAGGAATGTCTTGAATTGCCTTGCTAATGCCTATCATGAATACCAGTCCAAACAAGGACATGCCAATTTCCATGGTCTCCGCGACTATTACTCTCTCGTTAAAAGTCTCCATGCTGACAGTTGTAATGACATGAATAAAATTAACGTTGCTTTGCAAAGGAATTTCGGAGGCATCCCAGTCGAATCCAGCAATGTGCAGGAGAGTTTTATTGACAAATTGAAATCGCACGTGCCCACAAGCGGGAAAAATGCCAGTATCCCTGTCACTACGCTCATTCAAGAGAACTTAGATGACTTAAAAGCTCGACATTTGATGCTTATAACAAATGGGGACTCAGCTATTGGAATACTGAAACAAAATTTGTCACCGTCAGAAAAGGAGACCATCACCATCTTTGGTAGCCGTTTTGAAGAAGATATATCTGATGACTACAATTACAGAATGCTAAGTCGCATCATCCTTTGCATGGAACGTGACTGTGTCCTTATCCTTCGTGATCTTGAATGTATATATGGAAGTTTGTACGACATGTTAAACCAAAATTATGCTGTGGTTGGCAAAAGAAAGAACTGCCGAGTAGCTCTAGGTGCCAACAGCAACCCCATGTGCTATGTAAACGACGGTTTTCGTTGCATTGTCCTTGTTGATTACGATAAAGTCAATTACTCAGATCCGCCATTTCTCAACAGATTCGAGAAACAGTTACTTCGTTTTTCTGACGTGTTGAGTGGAAGACAACAACAAATTATCATAGAGCTACAATCGTGGGTTTCCCAAATGTCAAGCGTTGAAGATTTGGACAAGCAGTTTAAAGAATCTGATATGTTCATGGGTTTTAATAAAGATACGCTTCCATCTCTGGTGTTGTTACATAGCAACGATACAGACGAAACAAATGCAGTGATTGTAAAGAAATGCAAACACGATCTTATGTGGATTGCAACGCCTGATGGAGTTCTGCGCACGCAGAAATGTGAACGTTTAAAAGAAAACTCACGAGAAGTGAATATGCTTGCCAATGGATACTTTGAGAAACCAATTCATAACGGACTGGCATCTTTTATTACGTTTGTTGTTAATGATCAAGAGTTTGCTTACTCATCTGGAGGCGAAGTTGGTTCCAAAACCATCGTAATGACGTACGCCACTGTTCATACAGACATAACTCAATGTCTTGACGGTACCACCATAGGGTATCAGCTGGAACGACTTGGCGCTTATAATGCCGAGAAGCAACTGGAAGACAGGATTCACAATTTCTTTTTCTCTTCGGACAAGGAGTTGCTAATTTTTCAATGTAAACCTGAGTTTGATGGAGAACACATGCTTCTTGCCCGTTCAATCATCGAAGATAAAAGAAATTCCTATGAGCTGAAGACCTATCAAGAGCTACATTCAACAAAGCAAAGAAAACACGTTTGCATTCTGGTGCATGTACGCCGAGGAAGGGATATTAGCACTATACATTGGCAATTCAATCATCTTTGTGGTTGGAAACAAGTTTTTCTGGATGTTATCGAAGAACCGCCTGTTGCGATAAATGACATTCGCTCTGAATCCATCGACTGGCTTCTTACATCGTCAAATTGGTCGTTTGGAAATTTTTCTAAAGATTCCAAATGTCTGCTGTGGTGTTTCAAGTGCATTAAGTACATCAAACAACAGAGACCTTTAGAAGAAATGCTGGTTATTACCAAACGTCTTTTCGAATCTGAAAAAGTGTTCAAAACCATCCAGAATATTGTTAAGAAGTATGTGTATGCAATTACAGCGGAAGAAAACGATGAATCCTGGCCTGTGAAAGTTGCCTGCGATAAAGAAAGCCTGATCAACTCCTCTACTTTTTCATCTGCAATTGAATACTATCTCTGTCGCTTAGTTCGTGATCCACTAGCTAAGATAATTTACTTCTTAGAACGAGAAAATGCCTGGCCAACTCGCCTCTTACTATCCGATGAAAATGCTCTTCGTAAGTACGAGGATGTTTGGTGCGAGCTTATATCGGACGAAACCATTCTTGGCCTTTGCAAAATTCCTGCGCCACTAGGAACCGATTCGTATTTTGTTGATGGCACTCGTCTTGAGCTTAGCGTGCCATTTAGTCAAGTAATTATTCGAAAAGTAAATGTCGCCAAGGAACAGGTCTTAAAAGAGTATCAGTTATACATGGAAGAAAATGAAGGAGAACACAATCCGGTATCGCACGACAAACAAATGGAACACTATACAGAAATTGTCAAACGTATCGCTCCCGATATTCTAAAGCTTCCTGAATGGTGTCTTAATTCGTATTCAGACGACTTTCTTGATGTAACCTTAGCTTCATTCAGTGGTAAGATGAAACGTCAGCGAAGAATATCAATTGGGAAATGCGCGTTGTTATCATTTGCTAGCGGAGATAATTTATCCATGGAAAATCCTCTCCATCTTTGTATCCAATTTCATTTGCTCATGTGGAATTTTGGACAACACATAATTGATCAAATTCGAATGATCAATTCATGTGAGCAATTCATGGATCCATCAGTCGTAGACAAATTACTACAAGACAGCCAATCGGCGAGTGATTTGAGTCCAATACACATACCTAGTTTCAATAGGAACGACAACAGTATTTCGACGGACGAAGCTGGCATGAAAATAGACGAAGGCGAGCCGTCAGAAAATGTTATACCTTCTCTAAAGCGAAAGAGTGAACAGTTTCAACAACCCCAACATGACTCACCAAGAAAAAAAGGCAAATGTGAAGTGAGGCCAAAATCAGATACAACGTATACCCAATCATATAGTTTAAAGAGTAACATTGACGAACCAGATTCTGAGGATGACTTCGGAAAAAGTAGAAAATACAGCGACAAGGATAAAAACGAAAGTGAAAGCAGTAATAGCGACACAAGTAATGACGAAGAAAGCAGTAGTGATACCAATGACAGCGAATCCAGTGACACCAGCGACGACGAATCTGGCAATAACTTACCAATTAGTGAAATTCATGTTTCCGAAGAGTGCTTTGAAGATATTCTCGTAACAAAACTCTGCGAGGAAATGTTCCCTTCAAAATTGAATGTCGAAAGACATGGCGGACTGGAATCCTGGATTCGAAATTCTTCGCTGTTGTTGTCGCTGGCATTCAAAGTGAGCAATCAGACTCCCGCATTCCATTTTCTACGTTTATGTGTTGACTACGCCAAAATGGTCGTACAAACAAATGAGATACGCGAAGATTACCTTTACATTCTGGACGAAATTGCACGGGAACTTAAACCTGAATATCTGGACAAGGATGGTTCGCTCGAGAAATTGAAACAAAAGTTAGTTGACCCCTTAACAAAACAATTAGAGCACGGAGAACAAAAATATGTTACAATACAGAAATTTTTGGCTAAGTTTTACAGTCGTTTCATAGATACATACAAGGACGCTAAATCAGGTGTCCCAATTGTGGAGAATGTGTTATCCATGGACAGAGACGATTTGCTGTTGCTTATGAAACCGGTCATGGATAGTTTGCTCAGTGCTTGCCAAACGGAATCAAAAGGAATATTTGTCGATATCATCATCGATCCGAATGCTATTAACAATTATCCCATTTTGAAAGGCATTGACCAAGTCTTTCGAAAACGATTTTCAGAAGGTTGTATTCATCACGATTCCTATCCTGCTGTTTTGATTTGTGATATAATTTTTTCTATTCTTTTGTTTGACGAAAGTTGTATTATCGAAAAGCTTACGGATGCTGAATGCGAACTGCTCAAATGTCTCCGTTGTGCTACCAAAGTCTTAAATGGAGGTGACGATAACATTGGCCTAGTCCTTCTTTCATCCGTCGCGTTTCTCCGAGTCTTCTATACAAAGTTATCAAAACAAATATATCAGAATAGAAGAAATACTCCTGTTATGAGCGAGATCAGATCTCTCTTGGCAGACGGTGGGGCAAGAAGATCATCGCTTCAAATATTCTTCTTGAAACAACTTTATGGTGCCGGTGACCTTCGCAGGTTATGTTGTGATGGTGATAAACTCCCAGCTGTGTTTAAAAAACCAATTGAGCAATGCAACAAAGTCGAACTTGTCTCAGTCTACAGACTACGGGAATACAAAGAAGTAAAAGATGCTTATTGGCAACTCACTCAGAAGGACGAGCGCGACATGCTTACCATCCTGACAAAATGTCAAAATTCTGCAAACCATCGGCTTGCTTTGTTGGGACTCCTGATAAACATGTTTTACGTAAAGAAAGCGGATGGTAATCTTAGTGACAAGGAAGAACGTTTGGCAGAGTGGTTCTCTGACAAGTCCAAAGACTTTCCGTCTCCTCTGAATGAACTTCTTCTGAGAATACTTGGTCGTGAAAACTTCAATCATAGTGGCTTACTAATTTCTGTTGAATCATCAAGAGATGAGATTGACACGGCATTGTTGATACTTCATGTCTCATGTGTTGTAGCAAGTCGTGTTGAAGGCGAGATCTCTCCGCTCTTCCAATATTACTCTAATCCAGAGAAATGTCATGGTACCTGCATTCTCGCGCATGGTGAAAACAGAAAGCGTCGAGTGTTCGATCAATTTACATTATGCAATGAATCTTCACCTGCAACTTGTTCTTGCGACCTACGAATTAAACACAAGGACCATCAAGTGCAAAACACATGCCCATACTGTGGGACAGAGACTGCGAGAACTGACTGTGAGGCACCTTCATCCCAAACAATCAAGATTTCCTGCCTGGAGACAAAGTCCAAAAAGTGGGAAGAATGTACCGAAAATATGGATGCCTCTGTGTATCGCGCATTACATTTGATCGTTTATGCTTGCCTTTACGCTGGAGTTGCCACCAGAATTTCGTCAAATGAAGCTGTATCGACGCTATTATGTCTAGATAAACAAGGATCCAACTCTGGAAGGACAGGTGAAAATTCAGCAGATTTTTGCTTCAAAAGTATCAAAGATGACTTACAGTGCTTGATGACTATCCTCTCGTGCAAGTCTCGTCCTGCCGTGGATGTCATGCATCTTGTGGTTGAAGAATGTACAGAGCTTATTCAAGGCAAGACCTTCACCAAAGATACTATCTCAACACAAAAAGAATGTTTAGAGTGGGAAAACAAATTTAATATTATTGCAAAAGATGTTCTGCCTAATGCTCTTGGATCTGTAAGACCTCTAAAACAACTACGAATAGAGATCGACGAAAGTTCATTTATTGAAAACCAGATACATGAACTTGATGAATATCCGCCTGTGCTTGACCAACAAGATGCAGAATTGAAAAGGTTGTTTCGCGTAACAAAACAACCATCCTTCACGGAATTACGATCCATATTTCTCAACTTCCCCAAAGATTTTCAAGAGCAACATGGTGTCCTGGCAGCATTGTTTTCAAAGTTTGATGAGCTACCTTATCTTGCTCGTTTATATCCACTTCTACGATGGAGTCGTTTAGTCTCGTCAACGTTGACTCACCGCATTAGTAGAAAGGAAGCACGATCCACGCTCATAAATGATTTTATCGATGGTCAACGTACGCAGGAATCGAGAAGTAACGAAGAGCGGGATGAACTCAGAAAATTATTTGACGACTTCAAAGATGCTTGGGAGACAATGCGAGAATTTGTCAATCAGAATCCTAACGAGGATGAGATGCCATATTTAACGGAAAACTGTCATATAGGGTATTGTCTGACAGAAGGTGACTTAAGCATCTACCTGCGAACGGCAATCAAGATTCTTCAATCAATTCAGAACAACATTTTGGACGAGATGATCCTCACATCAATACGCACTCGACATCCTGCTCTTAGTTTCCTTGAAAAGAATGAAACCTGTTGCGCCATTATGTCCGTTTCTCTTCAAGAAGCAAAGGAGAAAGATATCATCAACTTCGATTGGTCAGACGAGTTCCTGAGGTATGTACAAAAGCTCGAGTACCGACTTGGAGAGAAAATCGATTATGATTTTGAACGAATGGAAATAGAACTGGCGAATGAGATTGCGTTTGGAAAATGCTACCTTACAGATTCTTTGAACACTTTCATATTCTCCAAGGAACTTTTCCATTCTAGCGCCAAAATGCTTACGAAGATTCGTGAATTATATCCTCAAGAACAGTCATTGCCAGACGAGATTCGCCAAGGGATAAAAAGTTTAGAAGAACGCAGATTCCAAGATGCTCAGAATCTGCTTCAGCATATCGAGGTTGTCATATTTGTGCTAAATACGCAGTCATTTCCAATCAGAGACGACAGAGTTCAAGAGATGACGTTGGTAGAATTTGCTGATAAATGGAAGTCAAAGATCCCTAGTCCTTTCCCAACTGATCTGCTTCCAGAACCCAAAGCCTCCATACGACTTACCCATATTACTGCTCTCTATGAAGCATTGGAAGACTTACTTGCTGATGGAACAATTAAAGGACTGCGAAAACAGTTCCAAGCAAGATTAACAGAAGAAAGAAAGGAAACTCTGAATCGTTTGGTAGATAGCAGAAACGGATCTTTAAAACTCAAGCAATTCCTGACAGCATCGCGACGTTTCGTTTTCCGTTATCTCTCGGCAGAAAAATTCCTTCCAGAACCACATACACCATTGCGTTTTTGCTTGAGCGAACCTTCATTGTGGTATCCTGAAGAAGCTCCAGATCCGAATGTTATTCCTATAGAGATGACGCTGGCGAATATTCATGCTGTTATAGCACATCTTGATCAGGTACGTTTGTTTCCAACGTCGAAATTTGCATGTGCCAAATTCCATTGTTTGAATTATGCCCGTAGAACAATTATTTCGACGTCTCAGACAGTTAAGTTCGTCGTTTTTATTTTCAGGAAACAAAAAGTCATTCAAGTGTCGGGGATAGAACGTCCAATTACAAGAGATTATCTAAAAAGTCGAAACGGAAAGCCGTATCCCGTTCTTAGTTGTAGGACAAAATTTGATACTGTGCACGTTGTTTTACATTATTACTATCATTATATTATAACTTTTAGGTTTTAGATTACAACCCCCGTTTACACTTCAGCAAAAAATTCCAGATTCACTAAAAAGTTTCCGGTATACGAGCCGTTATCTGGATGAATATCAACCGTAAACTTTCTATATATCCTTAGTGCTTGGATAAATACTAAGCAAGTGTTAATAAATTATTAAACAAACGCTGAAAAAGGATATAAAGTATAAACAGAACAAGTAAAAAGCTACTTTGTCGCACGAATTTAAACCGAGATAGATTGGTTATGCCCTTATCTGCGTTAGCATTCTGAAAGGTTACTACAAAATACTTTGAGAACAACGCAAGAAACATGGTTGCCGATTTGTGTAGATGGCCCTATTAGGGGCGTTTTTCGATATATGCACCACAACCCTACTCTAAACCGAAACCTAATATTAATTTATACATAATATTTTGCATGGTAAATTATTATTAAAGGGATTGGCAACAAAAAATTGTATTGCTTCATTTGAAAGAGCATGGAAAAATAAGCCGATTGGCCATTTAATGCTCTATTCTATCTCATCTAGTTCCGAAGTTATACGCAAAAATGTGCAAAATATAAGTTGCTGATTCAGCACAACGTGTGACGTCATTGGTTGGGTAATTATGTTTAATGAATACTAAACTGAAGCATAGCTCAGTTATTATGGACCCAAATCAAATTAAATTTTGCATACCGATTGTACATGTTGAGACGCATTGAAAAACACTTCCAATTTTGTTGCCAAGGTAACAATTTCGTTCCCAGGCCCCTTGCGCCAATTTTATAAAACAGCTTTTTTCATGGTACTTATAAGAATAAAGTAATATCAGAAGTATGTGTACCATACCTATGCATGCCAAAAGTTTACTTGCATAATAATAATTTGAAAATGACATACACATAGATAAATGCAACTAGTTATTCAAAATCAGTGTAAGGGGCCTGGGAACAACTGTGTTGCCTTGACAACAAAATTAGAAGTATTTTCCCATGCATCTCATCATGTACTATCTGTATGCAAAATTTCATTTGATTTGAGCGAATAATAACTGAGCTATGCTTCAGTTTACTATTCAATAAACATACTTACCCAACCAATGACGTCACACGTTGTGCTGAATCAGCAATTAATATTTTGCACATTTTTGCGCATAACTTCGGAACCAGATGAGATAGAATAGAGCAGTAAACGGCCAATCGGCTTATTTTTTCATGCTCTTTCAGATAAAGCAATAAAAAAAATTATTGCCAATGTCCTTTAATAATTTAATTTAAGTCTCTTTTCTATCAAATATCACTCAAGCCTTTAACATGATTCGATCCTATTTCATGGACTCATGGATACTTTTTAATTTCTAAAGGTGATGTGAATTGTGATGAAATGCGGCGATGAAAAGACCAAAAAGAGCCACTCACGAATGGCATGGAGCCAAGAAAAGAATGACGATAAGCAACAATCGGAAACCACAACATTGCTAATATGAAAGTAGCGAAAAATTTTACGAATGTAAGTTAGTTAGAGACAAAATACTTATTTAAAGATCAAAGGGGATTCGAGTGAATACAACGATTTTCTCATTGTAAATTAAATAAGCATGCTACGAATTTGTCAAATTTTTCGACTTTGTTTTCCAATTTGCGGAGTATAGAAATAATTGTCCTCAAAATCAGGTAAAACGTTTGGCCAGTAAAACATTCTTTCAAAAACGCGATAACGCAGTGTTTTTGCGACGAGCTAGAGTCTGTACAAGGTAACATATCATTTCAATTTTTTTGTTAAAACAACAAAAAGTTTCCAAAATTAATAGTAGATAACTGTTTGTATAAAAAAGATCGAAGCAACAATACCTTAAAAGCACTAAGTGTTGCCTGGAATATTTCCGATTGTAGTATTTTCTGAAAACAAAATATTAATCCGCTTCAACCCATAATAGTTGATGTAAAATAAACATGGCTTGGAATCTAGCACCAAGCATTTCCTCTTTTTCATCGTCAGTTGGAGTTGATAATAAAATCACTGTCAGATGCGGTCCCTATCTATGTTTATATTCTGTTAACTATGGGATAAGTCTTGTATTTACAACGATAAATCAACATACGATGAAAACAAGCAACCCTATTTCAAGCGTTAAAAAGTTAAGAATTGGTGGTTTATTTTTCGTATGTTTAATTCCCATGGGCATGGGCGTACCGGGCGGGGGGGGCGGCAGCCCCCCCAGTTTGTTGGGCAAACAAAGCCAGTCGGGCAATATTCGCTTTACAGTCGGGCAATATTGGCTTATTATAAAAATAAATGGGACAAATTCTGTCAATTTTTAGGGAAATTCTGTCAATTTTGTGGGAAATATGCTATCTAATAGGAATTTTTCGTTATCACTCCTCCCCCCGTCGAGAACAATTTTGGAAAGTTTCTCCGGAAAATTTTTTTGACAACTCGGGCACATCCAAAAAGTCGGGCAAATTTCTTTCCGCCCCCCTAATTTTTCCCTTCCCGTACGCCCATGCCCATGGGAATATACTATACCTTGTTTTTTATGTTAATTTTTTTTTATTTCGCGAAAGCGTGAAGGTATTCTGCAATTTTATTTTTTTCCGTATTTTTAATTCCCAGGGGAATACACTATGCTTTGTTTTCATGTTGATTTCATGCAGTGGAAATTTGACTTTATAACGAATCCTCTTTGACCAAATATGATAAGTATCTTGTTACTTGCGGGTTTGAGAGCAGCTGCGACGTGCCATACAAATGATCATCAAGGCGTTCCGGTTAAATGAGTATGAGAATTGCGGTTAAGTCTGTTTGAACTATATAGATAAACAGTACTATATCCTCACTAAATTAGCGACATTATAATTTTCGGTTGGATTTTAAACTCTTATTAAAAAGTTTTAAAAATAATTCTAAGCATTCTCATGCTTATTTAATCGAGCCTTTGGTTTAGGTAAGTTTAAGGTTTGTATTTACTTCGGACTAGTTAACAAAACTCAAGCCCATGCCCTTTCAGTTAAGATTTTATGTTTCGAACCAGAATCCAAAACTCAGTCTAAGTGGGTTATAGGATAGCTAGTGATAACGTAACTTATCTTTTTATTTTGCTTTTTTGTTATAACGTAATTTATTAGCTAAATGTATGGAGTGTGAGAGTGTGCGCCGTGTGTATAAGATGCATGGGGTTAGGCTAAACTAAAGGAATTAAAATTTTGAGAGCATATTGAAAGAGAAAATATATCTTTTCTGAACAAAACAACTAATTTCCTTATTTCCTAACATCAGCAAAATTTCTTGAGTTCCTTTATTTAAACCAAAACTATAGTAAAGTATATATATAGTAGGAAAAATCCGGATTTCAAGGTTTCGTATATTTTTCTGAGTAAATTTCATGTATATAGGCAAGTCAGAAACTCACCTGTTTGTGTACGCGGGCTTTCTTAATCGTCAACCTTTAATTTATCCCGTTTGCGTTTGGCCTAAAATATCCGAATAATTAATTAATTATGTATACTTTGCCAAGATTTTAATACCTTCAGTTTTAAGGGTGGGCAGTTCGGGTTGGTGGCAGGTTGGGCAGTAGCGAGTGTCTGTGTGATGGTGAGGAAAGCGGAAGTTACGAATGGAATGCAGGTAGCTTAGGACCGAGGCAGACAGTTTAGGACCGAGGCAGACAGCTTAGAACTGAGGCAGGTAGGCAGTTGGTAGGAATCAGTGGGGGGCACTTGTCATTTCGGCCACGGGATTCAAAATTTGCATGTCGAGTATTTGTTACTAATGCTTGTTGTTTTACATTTGCTAGGTATGCGCGTGGCTGCTCTCAAAGAGAGGATCAACTTAGCAATTTGCATTAGCATATTTGCAAGGTTGGTCTTCTCTTCGCCCCGCTACCCCGGCTGGCTCTCCGAATGCTACCTCTACTTTAAGTAGAAGTACTTCTACTATATTGTAGAAGCACTTCTGCTTGAAGTGGAGGTAGTACTTGGGGAGCCGGCCGGGGTAGGGGAATTTTTTTTATTTTTTTTTTCAATTCCCATGGGAATTGAATTTTTAATTAAAAAGGAGTCTCTTGTATAATTAATGACAATTTATTGAAAAGAACTTGTAAATCTTACAATTTGAATAACAATAAAAAGAGAACAACCACTGCATACTGTAGTTATTTAAATAACAATAGAAGAAAACAGAACATGGCACAAAGAGAACAATTAACATTGTGTTCAACACAAGTGAAAACACAACATTAACTAAACATGTTTACCCGTGAATTAACATTCAAAAAGTTAATTCTTGAGGAAACAAGAGAACTTGGTCTTTTCAAGATAAATGTTTATACTTCAAAAAAATATTGTAAAACAACTCTAATAATGATAAATTTTACGAGTTTGACGGAGAAATCCAAAGCGTAACACCAAGTTGTTTTACAAAGAAAATATATGGCTCAAAGACAAAGTAGATCGAACATGCTTTTACTTTTTTGGATACGAACTAAGTGTTTTTGGTAAAGTCAACAAAACGTTTCACTTGAGTATGGAAAATAATGATTTTATCGCGATGTTTAGATGCTAAGAGAAGTCAGTTCGTTGTAATGCGAGGTAGGTTGTCAAGTGGTTGGCAAAACATTGTCATTGACAACAAATTCCATTGCTTGAAGCAACTTAATTTCCTCAAAGTGCCTTATACTTCATTAAACTCAGAAATGATATTTTTAAACATCGTAATACTTCCATACTCAATTGAACATATATAAGAACATTTTTTACACGGCCAAATCGAGAAATATTTAAATTTGAAATTATCCCGGTCTTTTTGAGCCATATATTTTTTAGCGTCGTTTTTAACCTGACAACTTTGAATTGATTATATATAATGTTAATACTAAATCAAGTGATGAAAATGCAGTCCAATAAAATTTTAAAAGAATGTTATTATTTCTCCAATTCTGATTGATTTTTCGAACAAAAATTCGCTTTGCTGCTTAAGAAAATGGTTCATTTCTCGTCTTCATAAATACAATAAAATGATACACATTGATCCACTATAATATTTTACAAACATCTCCTAAATTTCACGTGGGGAAAAGTTCTCCTGTTTTATATTATTTACATATTAGAAAAAAAAACACTTCAGGAAATATTTTTGATGCAAAACATGTAGCAACCATGTACAGAAACACACAAAATATGGTTGAACCAAACTTTCAAATGTTCATAAAATATTTTCTTATTTTTTACACCTTTCTTTACACTGGTCAAAACCAAAAGGAAATTTTCAATTGGAAAACAGCTTATTGTTTTGCATAATACAAAAAAAAACAGGGAATAAGTTTTACATAATAAGAAATACTTTGCTAACTCAAAAGTAAGCTAAGAGTTTTGATCAAAGTCCTCGCAAGGAACAATCAGTTTCCATACAATCCGTAGAATCTCTCTCAACAAACAAAATATTATATTGCATTTTCATCAATTTCTAGTATCAACATTTTAAATTAAAGTAAACCAAACAGAAACATCAAAAGACATACGCAGTAGCAGCAGTTGTCGATTGAATTTATGAAATTCATTGAAATTTGAAAGGCCACAAAGATGGAGTTTTAGTAAATTTTGGACGAAATTCTTGTCAGGTTAAAAACAGACCATTTTGAAGTATAAACTTACCTTTACATACCCGTTGAAAAGACCATGTTCAAGTGCCATGTAAACCTGTTTTCTTATATTATTATTATTGACTATATAGTATAACACATCATTACATAGTGGAATTATTTGAAAATAATGTTGAACTGAAGCAAAAGAAATACATGTAAACAGAAAACTAACAAATTAATTTTAATTGCCAAACAATTAATAACCACAACCAGCCAATAAAAATTAAAAAATAAATCTTGTCATCTCAGTATCCAAACCAAAGCCCAAAGGTACGAAATTAATTAATTGAATCTGATTCGAGAAAAATAAAATATTAAATTCAAGCTTGAAAAATTTCATACTTAAAAAAAAATTAGGGTTGTAGGTCATATTATTTAAATAAAATAGCATTTTAAAATCTAGAACTTTTTATTCAGATTAGAGTATAAAATTTGGTACATAAAGGGCATCTCAGTCATTGCCGATCTTATGTGTGATGAAACACACACAAGTTTTGATGAATACTAAAAATATGCATGGTTAATTCCGTGCTTGAATTTTGATTCAAATCTTATTTCAAATTGTGCATTGATTAACACCTAGCACAAAGAACTGTTGATCTTATCTTCAGCCTCAATATTCCAATTATTGGATTGCTTTACCTAACAATTAAATTAATATATACTTTTGAATGCCGATTGTTTTTCCTTCCCTATAATACAAATCATATGCCAAAAAACTGATCTGTGACCTATTTGACTGATCCTTCACATAAATTGTATAACTAACTTACATGCAGACACAAAGCGAAGATTAACAGTCAGAAACGAAATTTAAGACTAATAGGGGTATGAGATCTGTTGCACATGCTATGTGCAAATCGTTTTAAATGCAAATAATTAATGATAATTTTAAAATTTGTATAGTATAGTAGTAATTGATAGTTAGTGTAAATTATGTAATCCAACCCTTGGTTGCAATGTAATTTTTATTAATAAACCTAAAACCTAGAACATCATCCTGTAGTCTGGTTGTGGTTTTCCTTGTCATGCATGACAATCAATTTTCTTTTATTTTCTCCATCTCACATTGCCCCCAAAATTAAGTATAGTTTGCTGCTTCAGTTCATCCACATTCAAATAGGTTCCACTTTGTAATGAAGTAAAGGCAATATCCTAGCCTATTTCGACCTTAACTGTTTGTTTTAAAGTTGGGAAAATTCTTTTAAAAATCACAAAGTTTGTTCCAAAATTCAACTTTTTTGTTGATAACAATCCAGTTGGTACAAGAATAAAAAAAACAACTGAAGAACACAACCCTCCTATAAGTAGTACTGTATAGAACTGCCCTATTCCTTAACAAATCCATTTTATTTGTGTCCAGGAATAATCAAACTCATGTATTAAGAGTGTGCTGGGATAAATAAGACAGGACTATTAAACAATGAGGCAGTTCTAACAGTACTAATTGTAAAAGTATTGTATACTTCAATTGATCGCTAATTGTTTTTTCTAAGATTCAATATTTGAAGACTCAAATAAAATCCAGAGTCAACATTGAAAGAAATATTGTGATTTTCAGATGAACTTTCCAAACTTTCAACAAACACTGAAAGTCTACTTAAACAAGAGAAGATTGAGATGAAACACAAGTTACTGTTTTCACAATGCAGTTCGATAAGTTCAAAACGCAAAGTACAATGAGACAAATTTTAATCAATGTTCTTTTAATCCTTTAATGAAAACATACTCCAAATTAGTACCGAAACATGTTCTAAAGATGACTAAAAGAAAATCCTGAATTAAAACTAATAAAGTTGCATGTCTTATTTGTAAGTGGCCGTTTTGGTTTCTAATAAAAACACCTCAATCTTCTCAATGTTTAACTGATGTAAAAAGCCAAATAATGACAAACTTTTCATTTTTTTATATTTGACAAACACGTAATTTGGAAATATGTAGAAACAACTATGTTCTCAGATAGAACACAGATAAAGTACAAATTTATATGTTTTGTCCTTTAAGATTTAGCTATCATGTCGAACAGATAAAATGCATGCCCAAATTGAATCGTCACTGTTAATTAAACACAATTTTTCAAAACACAGTTTGTCATTTTCTGGCTTGCTCATAAAATGCTTATGCTTTGAAAATTATAGACTTTCTGTGATCAGTGACAACACAAAACTTAATCAAGTAATCGAGGAACCACAAAACTGAGATTTTCCAAATTAATACAAGTCGAAATAGTGGTGTAATAATAGAATAAAAAATTGCAGTATTGTGCACTCACCATATTTAGGCGTAAAGATAGTGTTTGTTATTTTTGTTGAATTTTGTGTCATACGGTAAGTAAGATGGTCATGCTATTTTTGCAATATTCCGCTGGGATTTTTGAAACTATTGATCACAAGCAATCACATAATGTTCAAAGCATTTCATGTAAGATAAGACAGGAAAATATTAAGACCTTTTATATACTTTCCAATGATGGTGTTCATATTTGTGATCAAAAACACTTCAGCCAACAAACTTGAGACATTCTTGGAAATTGCAACACACATCTAGAAAATTTTAAGAACTCACTATTAAGTACATTAAACAAATTAATATATTACAACAAAAATTGTCCAAGAAATACAAAGAAGTTAGAAATAATTAGAAGAAAAATAATTTACCTCTTATTCAGGATCTTGGAATGTGTCCATTTTTCATAATCATGAGATCTTGAGGCAGGGGCTTGCAACATTCTTGCAGTGTATATCTACAAATATTTATGAGAATTTTACGGAGGATGTGAATAGCTTGAAAAACTCAATATGAACATGTGCGGAGCACCAGAGGTTTACACAAAAAATATCTTTTCCAGTCCATCAAAAAATATATTTTCCAGATTTTTTTTTCGAGATGTGGTTGGGTTGTTTGCTTACCAACCTATCCTATTTTTTGTTGTTTGCTTTATCATGTAACTTGATGCTAAATATATTTTCTGTTGCCCACAGTTATTGCTTCTTGAAATGTTTATATGTTGTCAGTGGGCAATTGCTGACCAATGTCAAGCCAAAAAATATTTGAAGAAAATCTGTTTTCCGACCTACCTATCAGACTTTTTTCAGGATATGAAACCTGAACCACATATTTTTTGCTATGTTCAAAATTGATCAGAAAAATGCCGACCAATTGGAAACGTTTTGATTGGAATTTTTTTCAACTTCATTTTGACTCCAAGCATCTGCTGTACTGGTAAATCAAGTTAATATGCTTTTAAATTTAACACTGTCCTTTTAATTTTTTTGAAATTCTCTGAATCATTGTCAGCCCATGTTGAAGAAAGGCTTTACACTGCTCCTAGTGCATATTTTCGAGCCTGGCGTAGATGTGTTTCAAAAGAACAATCTTCTTTTCAAACCACCCTCAGCCTACAAACTTCAGACCCTATTATTTTTTCAACGCGATTGACTGTGCGACCCTATTTTCTCCAGGTGGTTGCAGGCCGCTCATATAGCGTGCCAAAATGGCATCTGTTGCCACACTAATTATTGAACGAAATTGCCTAAATTCGTCCATAGGAAATAGGTATCTCTACTTAATATTGATGTTGGGATTCTACTGCAAATCGCCCAACAAAAACCCGCCAAAACCATAAAAGCAATATTCAAAAAAAATTTATTTCCGACCTACCGGTACCGACCCTAATTTTTTCACGATATGAAACCGGAACCACAGGTAATTTTTTTATGCCTTAATCTTACTGGTCCGCTTTATAACAACCATACTTGCATGGAGGTGAGTCCGGAATTGGATCCACCGAGGGTGGCTGGAAGTTTCCCAAACTTACCGAGCGAAGGGAGTTCGGGAAACTTCCAGCCAGCCCAGGTGCGTCCAATTCCGGACTCACCGAACCTGTATGTTTGGTTTTTATCCCATACACCGAGCCATACACACTGCAACTCTCTGCGATATATTCGTCGATGTTTTGTCAACATTTTCTCGGCCAAAAAAATCACTGGGGTCACCGAAAAAAGTTCTTTAAAGTTTAGGTTTATTGGCTAAATCTTGTCCTCCATATTTGTTATTGTAATATTGCAACGTAAGCAGTTTCGCGGGTGAGTTCGGTGAAAAAGCAGGTGAGTTCGGCGAAAGGCAGGTGAGCCCGACGACAAGCTCACCTGCTCTAAACCAATCAGAAAGCTGCTTTTAACACCAGGTATGGGATAAACCAAGAAGCTCCACCTAGAGCGCCTCCTAGCCTTTCACAATCAAAATTTACACCAGCCTGCGGTGACGTCAAGAAACACAATTCTGGATTTTGCCTTATTGTAGCAATTTTCACTTAGTTTTATTTTTAATTAAATTTTATTTTTATTTTCAATTTTTTGTTTTGCAAGCAAGAAGCAAATACGTTGTAATGTTGCTAAAGCAAGGCTTTTTTCTGCAAATAAATGAACAAAAACACAAGATTATTTGAAATGTACAAGCTGATGAAAATATAGAATTGAAATATTAGTGCCACCAAGCACCTTGTCATAAAAAAATTTTCGGCAAGAACTCAGAGATAACACCTTTTTTCGACATCTTTATCAATTCTAGATCTTAATTAGTCTTTTACTCTCTTAGTCTATAGTATTGACAACAATTATGAACTAAAACACGGTTTAAAATTCGACAATCGCCCATCAAGCGAACCACGTGCAAAGCAAAAGCACAAACTTTATGCCGAAATATCGCATTAAATTCCGGTTCGATGTCCTAAATTTCCATCTATGTCGGCAGTCTAAGTACTCTACTGCAAAGATTGATATTAAATAAAGCATATTACCTTTCAATAAAGGTGAAATTGATAAAAAAATGTCCTCCATTTTTCTTCCTTGCTTTGCGACATAATTCTTCACCACGCGGTAAATTTAAAATTCGGAAATGCCCGGCACTCCGTCGGGATCTCGGCTCTGTGCGATTCAAGTCGACAAATTCCGAGTTACTTTAAAATGACGGGGGTCTGGGAATAGGAATAATAGCATAATTTATAGTTCCCCGTTCCCCATTCTCGTTCCCAGAATCCCAGGGCCCAGGGCTTCGAGCAAGTGCTCTAAAGACCTCTAAAGAGAGGCATTCACCCCCTGGGCCTGGAACATTAATTTTCAATGATACCAGATTTCAGTATACCTGATAGCTACGTCGCAGTGTAGTCATATAAAGGATACCGGATTTCAGTATGGCTATATGAAAGGATACCAGATTTCAGCATACTTTTTAGCCACGGTGGTGTGTGGCTATAAAGGACACCAGATTTCAGTAAACCGTTTAGCCACGGCGGTGTCCCTTGTCCTCAGCGTCAGAGGCGGCGCCAGGGAGGGGGGCAAATGCCCCCCCCCAATTATTTCCCCCCCCCCCATTTTGCCCCCCTCAAAAAAAATTATTAATCACTAAGAGCGACTAAAGGTTTACAGTTTCAATATTACTTTGTAAATCTCTGAATGGTAAAACTTGCCAATACTCCAATAATACGTTTCAAAAAAAAGACAGAAAAGCTTTAGTTTTGCAGAGTTAAATTGTCAAACGTGTAAGGCAATAATAAGATGAAAGTATCACGAAATTATTTGAATAAACCACATCGCATATATGGGGGGCGAATGTCCTAAAGAGTTGCGATATTCCTAGGGTATTCGCACCACCCCCCTGGGAGGCGATATTCCTAGAATATACGCTCCCGGGGGCGATATTCCTAGGAATATCGCCACGTTTTGCGGGGGGGGGGGGAATTTCCTGGGGGGCGACCTTTTTAAAAATTCTATCTTCCCCCCAAAATTTGAGTTTGCCCTTCAAATGCCCCCAAATTCGGAAGCCTGGCGCCGCCACTGTTGAGCGTCAGGATCCTTGTCCTCATCGTCACGAGCCTTGCCCTCAGCGTCAGGAACCTTGTCCTCAGCGTCAGGAACCTTGTCCTCAGCGTCAGGAACCTTGTCCTCAGCGTCAGGAACCTTGTCCTCAGCGTCAGGAACCTTTTGCTCAGTGTCAGGAACCTTGTCTTCAGCGTCAGGAACCTTGTCCTTAGCATCAGGAACCTTTTCCTCAGCGTCAGTAACCTTGTTCTCAGAGTCAGGAACCTTGCCCTCAGCGTCAGGAACATTGTTCTCATCGTGAGGTACCTTGTCGTCAGCGTTAGGAACCTTGCCTCAGCGTCAGGAACCTTGTCTTCAGCGTCAGGAACCTTGTCCTCAGCGTGAGGAACCTTGTCCGCAGTCTCAGGAACCTTGTCCTCAGCGTCAGGAACCTTGTCCTCAATGTGAGGAACCTTGTCCTCAGCGTCAGAAACCTTGTCCTCAGCGTCAGGAACCTTGTGCTCAGCATCAGCCACCTTGTCCTCAGCGTCAGGAACCTTGCCCTCAGCATCGGGAACCTAGTCCTCAACGTCAGGAACCTTCTCCTCCGCGTGAGGATCTTGTCCTCAGCGTGAGGAACCTTGTCCTCAGCGTGAGGAACCTTGTCCTCAGCGTCAGGAACCTTGTCCTCAGCGTCAGGAACCTATTGCTCACCGTGAGGTACCTTGACCTCAGCGTCAGGAAGCTTGTCGTCATCGTGAGGTACCTTGTCCTCAGCGTCAGGACCTTGTCCTCAGCGTCAGGAACCTTGTCCTCAGCATCAGGCACCTTGTGCTCAGCGTCAGGAACCTTGCCCTCAGAATCGGAACCTAGTCCTCAGCGTCAGGAACCTTGTCGTCAGCATCAGGCACCTTGTCCTCAGCGTCAGGAACCTTGTCCTCAGCATCGGGAACCTTGTCTTCAGCGTCAAGAACCTTGTCCTCAGCGTGAGGAACTTGTCCTCAGCGTCAGGAATCTTGTCCTCAGCGTGAGGTACCTTGTCCTCAGCGTCATGAACCTTGTCCTCAGCGTCAGGAACCTTGTCCTCAGCGTCAGGAACCTTTCGCTCAGCGTCAGGAACCTTGTCTTCAGCGTCAGGAACCTTGTCCTTAGCATCAGGAACCTTTTCCTCAGCGTCAGTAACCTTGTTTTCAGCGTCAGGAACCTTGCCCTCAACGTCAGGAACATTGTTCTCATGGTGAGGTACCTTGTTGTCAGCGTTAGGAACCTTGGCTCAGCGTCAGGAACCTTGTCCTCAGCGTCAGGAACCTTGTCCTCAGCGTCAGGAACCTTGTCCTCAGCGTGAGGAACCTTGTCCTCAGCGTCAGAAACCTTGTCCTCAGCGTCAGGAACCTTGTCCTCAGCATCAGGCACCTTGTCGTCAGCGTCAGGAACCTTGCCCTCAGCATCGGGAACCTAGTCCTCAGCGTCAGGAACCTTGTCCGCAGCGTGAGGAACTTGTCCTCAGCGTCAGGAACCTGGTCCTCAGCGTGAGGAACCTTGTCCTCAGCGTCAGAAACCTTGTCCTCAGCGTCAGGAACCTTGTGCTCACCGTGAGGTACCTTGACCTCAGCGTCAGGAAGCTTGTCGTCATCGTGAGGTACCTTGTCCTCAGCGTCAGGAACCTTGTCCTCAGCGTGAGGAACCTTGTCCTCAGCGTGAGGAACTTCTCCTCAGCGTCAGGAAACTTGTGCTCACGGTGAGGTACCTTGAACTCAGCGTCAGGAAGGTTGTCGTCATCGTGAGGTACCTTGTCCTCAGCGTCAGGGACCTTGTCCCCAGCTTCAGGAACCTTGTCCTCAGCGTCAGAAACCTTGTCCTCAGCGTTAGATACCTTGTCCTCAGCGTGAGGTACCTTGTCCTCAGTGTCAGGAACCTTGTCCTCAACGTTAGGAACCTTGTCCTCAGCGTCAGGAACCTTAAACTCAGCATCAGCACCTTGTCTTCAGCGTCAGGAACCTTGTCCTCAGCGTCAGGAACCTTGTCCTCAGCGTGAGGTACGTTGTCCTCAGCGTCAGGAACCTTGTCCTCACGTCAGGAACCTTGTCCTCAGAGTGAGGTACCTTGTCCTCAGCGTCAGGAACCTTGTCCTCTGCGTGAGGTACCTTGTCCTCATCATCAGGAACCTTGTCTTCAGCGTCAGGAGCCTTGTCCTCAGCGTCAGGAACCTTGTGCTCAGCGTCAGGAACCTTGTTCTCAGAGTGCGGTACCTTGTCCTCAGCGTCAGGAACCTTGTCCTCAGCGTGAGGTACCTTGTCCTCAGCATCAGGAACCTTGTCTTCAGCGTCAGGAGCCTTGTCCTAAGCGTCAGGAACCTTGTCTTCAGCGTTAGGAACCTTGTCCTCAGGGTCAGGAACCTTAAACTCAGCATCAGACACTTTGTCTTCAGCCTCTGAAACCTTGTCCTCAGAGTGAGGTACCTTGTCCGCAGCGTCAGGAACCTTTTCCTCAGCGTCAGGAACCTTGTCCTCTGCATCAGGAACCTTGTCCTCAGCGTCAGGATCCTTGTCCTCAGCTTCAGGAACCTTGTCCTCAGCGGCAGTAAGCTTATCCTCTGCGTCAGGAACCTTGTCCTGAGCGTCAGGAAGCTTGTCCTCAGTCTCAGGAACCTTGTCCTCAGCGTCAGGAACCTTGTCTTCAGCGTGAGGTACCTTGCCTCAGCGTGACGTACCTTGTCCTCAGCGTCAGGAACCTTGTCTTCAGCGTTAGGAGCCTTGTCCTCAGCGACAGGAACCTTTTCCTCAGCGTAAGGAACCTTGTCCTCAGCGTCAGGAACCTTGTCCTCAGCATCAGGAACCTTGTCCTCAGCGTCAGGAACCTTAAACTCAGCATCAGGCACCTTGTCCTCAGCGTCAGGAACGCTGTCCGCAGCGTCAGGAACCTTTCCTCAGCGTCAGGAACCTTGTCGTTAGTGTCAGGAAACTTGTCCTCAGCGTCAGGAACCTTGTCCTCAGCGTCAGGAACCTTTTCGTCAGCGTCAGGAACCTTGTCCTCAGCGTCAGGAACCTTGTCCTCAGCACCAGGCACCTTGTCCTCAGCGTCAGGAACCTTGTCCTCAGCATCGGGAACCTTGTCCTCAGGGTCAGGAACCTTGTCCTCAGCGTGAGGAACTTGTCCTCAGCGTCAGGAACCTTGTCCTCAGCGTGAGGAACCTTGTGCTCAGCGTCAGGAACCTTGTCCTCAGCGACAGGAACCTTGTCCTCAGGGTCAGGAACCTTTTGCTCAGCGTGAGCAACTTGTCCTCAGCGTCAGGAAGCTTGTCGTCAGCGTGAGGTACCTTTTCCTCAGCGTCAGGACCTTGTCCTCAGCATTAGGAACCTTGTCCTCAGCATCAGGAACCTTTTCCTCAGCGTCAGGAACCTTGTCCTCAGCGTCAGGAACCTTGACCTCAGCGTCAGGAAGCTTGTCCTCGGCGTCAGGAATCTTGTCCTCAGCGTCAGCAACTTTGTTCTCAGCGTCAGGAAGCTTGTCTTCAGGGTGAGGTACCTTCTCCTCAGCGTCAGGTACCTTGTCCTCAGCCTGAGCTACCTTGTCCTCAGCATCACGAACCTTGTCTTCAGCGTCAGGAGCCTTGTGCTCAGCGTCAGGAACCTTGTCCTCAGCGTCAGGATCCTTGT